GTGACCAAGCAGAAGATCGACCGGGACCTCCTGTGCCGGCAGAGCCCCAAGTGCGTCATCTCGCTGGAGGTGATGTCCAGCTCCATGGAGATCTGCGTGATCAAGCTGGAGATCAAGGACCTCAACGACAATGCGCCCAGCTTCCCCACCGACCAGATCGAGCTGGAAATCTCGGAGACGGCCAGCCCCGGCACCCGGGTGCCGCTGGAGAGTGCCTATGACCCGGACTCGGGCAGCTTTGGTGTGCAGAGCTATGAGATCACCCCCAACGACCTCTTCGGGCTGGAGACCAAGACGCGGGGCGATGGCTCCCGCTTTGCCGAGCTGGTGGTGGAGAAGAGCCTGGACCGCGAGACCCAGTCCCACTACAGCTACGTGATCACGGCGCTGGACGGTGGTGACCCGCCCAACTTCGGCACGGTGGAGCTCAGCATCCGCGTCATCGACTCCAATGACAACAACCCGCTCTTCGAGGAGCCGGCCTACACCGTCAGCGTGCCTGAAAACGCCCCGCCGGGTACGCCGGTCATCCGCCTCAATGCCTCCGACCCGGACGAGGGCACCAACGGCCAGGTCCTCTACTCTTTCCACAGCTACGTCTCCGAGCGGGCCCGGGAGCTCTTCCAAATCGACCCCCAGAGTGGCCTCATCACGGTGAGCGGTGCCATTGACTACGAGGAGGGTCACGTCTATGAGCTGGACGTGCAGGCCAAGGACTTGGGGCCTAACTCCATCCCTGCCCATTGCAAAGTCACCATCAGCGTTCAGGATGCCAATGACAACCCGCCCCTCATCAACCTGCTCTCCGTCAACAGCGAGCTGGTGGAGGTGAGCGAGAACGCCCCGCCGGGTTATGTCATTGCCCTGGTGCGGGTCTCGGACCGTGACTCCGGGGCCAATGGGCGGGTGCAGTGCAAGCTCCTGGGCAACGTGCCTTTTCGGCTCCAGGAGTACGAGAGCTTCTCCACCATCCTGGTGGACGGGCGGCTGGACCGGGAGCAGAGGGACCAATATAACCTCACCATCCAGGCCAAGGACAATGGCATTCCCTCCCTGCAGGCCACCAAGTCCTTCACTGTCAAGATCACTGATGAGAATGACAACCACCCCCACTTCTCCAAGCCCTATTACCAGGTCATCGTGCAGGAGAACAACACCCCGGGGGCCTACCTCCTCTCAGTCTCGGCCAGGGACCCTGACCTGGGCCTCAATGGCAGTGTGTCCTACCAGATCGTGCCCTCCCAAGTCAGGGACATGCCTGTCTTCACCTATGTCTCCATCAACCCCAACTCTGGAGATATCTATGCTTTGAGGTCCTTCAATCATGAACAGACGAAGGCCTTTGAGTTCAAGGTCTTGGCAAAAGACGGGGGTAATCCCTCTCTGCAGAGCAATGCCACTGTCAGGGTGATTGTCCTGGATGTCAATGACAACACCCCTGTGATCACGGCCCCGCCACTGGTCAATGGGACCGCGGAGGTGTACATCCCCAGGAACGCGGGGGTCGGCTACTTGGTGACGGTGGTCAAGGCAGATGACTATGACGAGGGTGAAAATGGCAGACTTTCCTACGAAATGGTGGAAGGAGACAGAGGATTTTTTGAGATAGACCAGGTCAATGGAGAGATAAGGACCACCAGAGCCTTTGGGGAGAACGCAAAGACAGCCTACGAGCTGATTGTAGTGGCTCACGACCATGGAAAAACATCTCTCTCAGCTTCTGCCTTGATTTTGATATACCTGTCTCCAGCCCTGGATGCCCAGGAGTCCATAGGATCTGTTAACCTCTCCCTGATTTTCATTATTGCCCTGGGGTCTATTGCAGCCATTCTTTTTGTCACCATGATCTTTGTGGCAGTCAAGTGCAAAAGGGATAACAAGGAAATCAGAACCTACAACTGCAGGTAAAGACATCTTTGTTTCTGTGCACCTGCCGGCTCTGCTTTGATTTTTGCCATCACAGTTACTTTCCCTTTGCTGCTGTATACTTGGGGGGTGGGGGTGGTGTTAAATTTGCTTTAGGAACAAAAGTGAGGTTGGTGTCCCTCTAAGGAAATTTCCTGTGAAGCTTTAAAAATTTTTTCTCTGGGAGAAGCACAGAAATCTGTGCCGAGTAACGAATCGACTTAATTGTGCGGCTTAACAATCTGTTGCAGCATCCTTGATTTTACGCGCTCCATCGCAGGAAAGGGGGAGAACAGTTTTATAGCTGCGTGGCTGGTTCCCGTGGGCAGCCCCCGTCCCCAGCCCGGCTCCCCGCGTTCGCGAGGGGGGAAAGCCCCCCCACATCCCACCGCAGCATCCCTGCAGCAGACGGGGCGAGCGGCCGCGGTGGCATCCGTAAGCCCTCGCTGGCCGTTCAAAAGAGCTATTGTGCGCCCGATGCGGCTTCTCGCCACGGCTGGCGATGGGGCCAACCGGATAAAATAGTGGTGAAAATCAGCCGGCTCCCCCCGATGCGCCGCTTCAGCCCCCGGCACGGCCGGTTGGGCTGGGAGCCATGGGGCGAGGGAGGATTTTTGCAGCGCTGCGTTATTTTGCCCTGGCTGGATGCGTGCTCCCGGGTCCGAAATGCCGGAGGGGAGGTCAGCCCCGCGCCCGGAGCCACTGAAAGGCTGATAGGGGAAATCCAGTCCCCTGAATATGTAACAGCCCGGCGATTATTGTCTCTCTTTTACTATTCTCTGTGTTACACAAGTTAGGAGACAAATGCTAACCACACATGAATATCAATCAGATGCCATAAAAGAGCAGCTGCAATGCCTCATAAATGGTTTAATCCTGTTACTAGTGAAATAGCCATGACTTCTCCATTCCTTCGGCACCGAGTCGTTTCAGAGTGGAGGGATGGAAATTAATTTTGCTCTACCTTGGAAACGCACGCTGGCCCCCGGCAATTCTGCGGTGCAGGGGGATGTGCGGTCTTTAAAGTTTTATTTACGCAGAAATAATGCCGGAGAGTTCGGTTTTTATACCCCGTTTTCACAGCGTAAAGTGCGTTTATAAGCCTTTTTGCTCGATGGGGGAAAAAATCATCTGCAAATAAAGGTTGGTCTGTGCTGTATTATGGGATGTCTAGCTTCAAGTGAAAGCTAATATACCAGATTTCTTGCCAGCTCGGCCCATTAAATGAGAATAGGACCTTAATGGATAAAAATCACGTCGTGGTGGTGCCCCTAACAGCTTCACACATATGTATAAGCCCTAGGTTTACTGTGACGGCTTAGGGATTAATGAAGTGCAATTTAATTAAATAATTGGTCAATAGAGAAAGGACAGCAAAATGAATGCCTGCAGGAAATAATTGGGCTCTTGCATTGCCAAACTTAAACATTTAGGTAAACAAAACAATTAAGGCTTCATCAAGCATTGTTAGACGAGTCAGCAGCATATAGATTGTTGGCACAACAGAAATCCCTGCCTTCCCCTGATTTATTTGCACGCTCGGGGGATGCACGGGCCGTTATCTGCGTGCATCTGAGCAGGAGAAGTCAGCTGCAGAGGTGGAGAAGCACCAGGTAGGCTCAGCAGCGGCTGTGACCATGGGGCACCCTCTCCCCGCGCTGGGTGCGTGCCTTGAGGCTTTGCCAGTGCCTTATTTTAGAGGTTCTTCACAACAGCTGCTGGAGAGTCTTCATAAAAATGTGTTAATTTATGAGGCACATAAGGTTATATGAGAGCTGTTTGACTTGGTGGCATTTTCATGCTCAGGCAATTAGCGTTCTGGAACAAGAATATTTGTCCAATATTTGCCTTTCTAGATAAACTGTATTATTTATTCATCCCATTATTTCTGTTGCAGCTATTGGATTTTTTTTTTTTCTTTAATGCTGTTATCATAACAAGAGGAAGAGCAAAATCCCGACTTTCAAATGTGTATTTCTGACAGTGGGTAGCATCTGATGTGCTTCCCTGGGAAATACCGAGCTGCCCAGCGCTGTGCGTGCACAAATTCATCTGTGGGGCATTGGCTGGGGCTGTGTTGCTCCCTATGGAAAGCGAAGCCACAGTCGCTCTCAGCCGAGCATACCCAGTGAATGCGAGGTGCAGTCATATTTGTCATTATTTGCTCGGGTGGTGTTTTACGGTAACTTTTTTCCTCCGGTGTTTCGCAGAAGGCATTCGAGGCGCTTTGTCAGTTGATTCTTTTGGCAGGTGGGAAGCAGAGAGGGAAGGAAAGGCAGAAAAAAGCCAAGCTTGAAGTAAAAAAAAAAAAAAAAAAGGTCAAAAAGGATCATTTCTCTTTGCAAAACACAGTTGTTGTTCTTCGATTTCTAGAAGGCCAAAGCATTTCCCAGCAGAAGGGGGGGTGTGTGTCAGGGGGTGAGGGAGGAATAGGATGCGGTTGGAGAAAAGATTTCGAGTTATCAGGTATTATCAGGAGATAGTCAAAACACCAGCAATTTGGATAAAGCATTAATAAACAAACAGCCTTTGGAGTGTGAGAGAATAGAGCTTGCCAGCTAGGACTGCTTCTGGGTCTGCCTTATTTACTGCTATGGAAAATTAACTGGGAAAAAATCCACTATTCATTTTGAATTTTCATTACGGGAACCAAATTAAATCACTTTTAAAATCCTTATTACACATGGAAATGAATGCAGGTACCCTTTTCAGTTCATGGATTTTAACATCTCCATTTTTCTCTTCTGCAGGCTGGACTTTACTCCTAGTAACTAAATATCAGCAATTATAAACACTAGAAAAAGAACAGAGGCGTTCTCCCTTCCCATTATTTTTCATATTTGACCTGAAAGCATTATACATATGAAAATAAGCTAAAGACCGTGTCGTGCCACCAGACCCAAACCATGACGTAATGTGCATGACTAAGAAGCCTGCACGGAGATGGGGGCCAAGCCCTCTGGGTTTCTGCCTGTGTATTTAGCGGGGCAGGGTTCGGGATGCTCTCAGCTATTCATTTTCCTTCTGTCCCCCAGAATCGCAGAATACTCCTACGGGCATCAAAAGAAATCAAGCAAGAAAAAGAAAATCAGCAAGAATGATATCCGCCTGGTACCGCGGGACGTGGAAGAGACGGATAAAATGAACGTTGTGAGCTGCTCCTCTCTAACTTCATCCCTCAACTACTTCGACTACCACCAGCAGACCTTGCCGCTGGGCTGCCGCCGTTCCGAAAGCACCTTCCTCAACGTGGAGAGCCAGAACAACAGGAACGCCGGCTCCAACCACATCTACCATCACACCTTCACGGGGCAGAGCCCCCAGCAGCCCGACCTCATCATCAACGGGATGCCGCTGCCAGAGGTGAGTGCGGGCAGGCAGCCTGCGCCCCTGGGGCATCGGTAACGGGTTTGCACGTGGACCGCGGCGTGCGGGTCTGTTGGTGTAAGCGCTGACGAAATGAGCGTGGAGCAAACAGGCAGTGTGGTTTCTGTGTGTCCAACGCCCCGGGACGAGGGAGTGATGGAGGATGGCAGGGGGAGCAGCTGTCACCCACCTTGTGGGTTCTGGGGCAGCCCTGACACGTCGTCATGGGCGCATGTTTCACCGCCAGACGCTGCGGAGACCCCCAGAAATGCCCAGGCGGGGATGCTGGCGTGGGCCCGGCTGCTTCCGTGCTGCCGGGAGGCTGGAGGTGGCTGCTTTGCAAGTGGATTTTGAGTGTGGTGATGCCCAAGGGAAGAGACGCTCGTTGCCTTCGCGGGAGTTTTGCAAAAGGTTGTTGAAAGTGGTGTTGGCTGTTGCTCTGGAGGCAGCGAGTTTTGCTGGAGATGCAAACAGTGCAGGATGCCGCGGTGTGACCGCTTGCACGGCTGGCCCGGTGCTGTCCCCTCACCATGCAGAACGGGCACGCGCTGGCCAGCGTGGCAGGGATGTGTGGTACCGAAGGCAGGGAAGGGGGCTGCTCCGATCCACGCCATCCTCATCAGGTTCTTCTAATTCATCAGCTTTCCTGTACATCACAGGCATCATTTAATGTTGCTTGTTTGTCTCTCTTTGAATTATTGTTTGGTATTAAGCAAAACAATCAAAGGTTTGTCATGTTTCCTGCTTTGAACAGAATAACAAAGCTGAAAAAGCAGCTAAAATATTTATGGCTTGCTCTGTTTTGCGTTCAGTGTACTGGTGTAAATGCAAAACGATGCTGCTGAAGACAGTGGATCTACTTCAGATTTATATTTGCGCTATGGAGAGCAGAGCCCGGCCCTCTGTGATGGAGAGGGCTGGTGCCGGCGGGCCTGATGCTGCAGCTTTTGTACTGGCAAAACGCTCCTTGAACCCTGGTGTTCAACCTCCGCTAAGGCTACAGAACCAGCTCCCGAGAGGTCGCGTACTGGTGTCGGCCCAGTTCTGGGGTGCTCCCGGCCCAAACGCCAGGAGCTCAAAGCAGAGGCAGAGCTGTAACGGCCGTACGGTTGGGAGGGGGTTGTCGGGATCTCCGTGACAGATCGTGGGCACTTAGCCGCCGTCTGCCCAGCCTGCGTTTCGAGCTGCCCTCACGTGTGCAGGCTCCTTGCCGTACGGCATTGCCTTTTTGAGGTTGCCCGGTGAGATGCGACGAGGAGGCAACTTCTGCATGAGTGCACCAGCACAGCCCAGCACAGCCCAGCACAGCCCAGCACAGCCACTGGTTGCTGCGGAGCTGGGAGCCTGCCTGCATGTGGGAGGGTATGGCGGGAGCAACCCAGCGCTGGTCCCGACAATTAAAGCTCGATTTAACTTCTGGCGTTGGTATAAAAGCTGTAATAGAGTTTCTTAGCAATAACTGAATGGGAATGACCTGGATATAAGCGCTCATTTATTCTACTCGCATGTGTCCAGCCGTAGAGCTGAGCGGGCTCTGCTGGTCCCAAATGCCCCGATGGGGAGAGGCAGGGACTTTGCATCCGAGTCTGGGTGGGAGCAGTTTGGGACAAGCCTGTCTCTGGTCAAATATGGCAGAAGAGCTGCTACCGAAGCGCCTGCTCCTTGCGCTGTGCCTGGGCAGGCTGGGGGTGGGACACACCAACCTTCTGGTGTTCGGGGATTCCCATCGACGCTCAGATTTGCCTGTGCGCGTTGCTGAGTGCCAGCTGGGGCTCAGGTGCCCAGCTGCGTGGGGGATGCACGCCCAGGTTGTGGGTGACCGTCGCTGTCGGGACGCTGAGGGTGGTGGTCCCTGAGGGATTGCTGCCTTCCTTGGGCGGTGTCCTTTAGAGAGGGGTCTCGAGCACATCTCTGGCTGGTGTCTTGCTAAGGGCACCCTGTCAGCCTGTGATTCACCGTCACAGACAAAATTCAGTCGTAAAATCGATCACACGTCGGCATTAGCCCGAAGTGCACGGCGGCAGCAGGAGGTCTGCGGTGCTGGGGAGGAGGGAAGGACCATCGGGAACATTGTAGCTCAGCTGATAAAGTTAACAGGCAGCTGCAGGCAGAAGGCAGCGCTGCCCGTGTTCCTCCACGACACAGCAGTTAGCTTGGGGTCCAGCAGGATGGGATCTCCAAAGGCCCCCCTGAGTGAGAGGGAGCCGGGTCACTTGTTGCTTCTCCCCATGCCTCCAGCTCGCCCCATTTCCCCATCACTCCTGCGGGTGGGATGCACTGCGAAGAGCTGGTACCTCGCCTGGAGAAATAAATTTGTCTCTTGTAACAAGTGTCGTCAAATGTCAGCGTACAACGTGGCCTCCAGCAGCCCCTCGAGCACGCAGGAGGGCAGCTGATGGCTCTCCAGTTCTGCTCGGGGACCAGCAGCTCCCAGGTGGGTGCTCTCGGAGAGAGCGGCATGTCCTGGCAGGGGTCTGCTCGCTCCCCGGGGATGCTTTTGGACAAAAGGGCAGAGCCAGGGCACAGGGAGGAGAAATCCCAACTGGAAGCTGCTTGGAAGTTTGGTTTAGGGTGGGAACTTTTCTCTTTTTTGGCAGAGAGCCTCTGTGTAATGCTTCCAGCTGTTGGAAGGGAAGTTATCCCGCTGGTGTTGTGGGTTCAGCTGGCTCCTAAAGATCCTGAGGGCCAGGAGGCTCAGCCGTGACCAGAGTGACAGCCCTGTCCCGACATGCGGGGTGACACGGAAACTCCGTAAAAGATGCTTCCACGGAGGAGCATCGCAGCCTTGTACCCATCATAGCCCATCGCTGCCTTAGCGGGTGTGATGATATGCTTATAAAGTGTGCTATAGGAACACCTCCAGGGGAAGATGATTTAATAAATTAAATCCCTGCCCAAGCCTGGAGTTTGCAGAGCCCACCCGTTCCCTGCGGTGCATCCAGCGGGATTTTGTCTGGGCTGGTTTGAATCGCCTCCAGCGACGAGGCCGCCGGCGTTTCCCCCGGGAGCCTTTACGAGATGTCAGCATCAGGGAGATATGGCTGCTGCTCCACCTGGGAGTGACTTTTCCTGATGGGAAGGCAAAACATCGCTTGATAAAAGATAAAATACGGAGGTAAATGTGTCGCTGGCGGTGTCGCTTAGCATATGCTGGTTGTGGCTGGGAGTAAGCGATTCCCTCTGCAGACGTGTGCTGTCCTAGCAGCGGTGGTAGGACCTGATGTGTAGCTGGTCTTTAACGTGAGGCTCATTTACTTTAACAGTCAGGAACCTTGAAATAAAAGTCCCCAAGGATGGGTTGTTTGTGGAGCTTCAGGAGCTGTTTCCTCCGCGCCGTGGCAGCGATACGTGTGGTGGCAGGTCTCGGGGCTGGCGGTGCCGTGCCGTGCCGGCGGTACTTGGGTTCCTCGGTGCTCCCCACCTTTCCCTGCTGATCCGGAAAGGATTAAATAGCAGTGTCTGTGGGGACTGCAGCCCTGCTCTGAGGATGCAACAAAAGTTTGAGACAACCCTTGAAAAGCTTTTCCCCTCAGGTGGGGGCCGGGCTCGGCTGCTGGCTCTGCCTGTGCCAGGGCACGGCTGCGAAGAGAGCATCGGGAGGCAGTGGGGGACATCCTGGGGGGGGTTGTGGCCCCGCTGGAGTTTGGTGTTCCCTTGGGTGCTGGGGTACCACTCGGGGACCCCTGCCCGCGGCCTTTTAGCATCCTCGTGGCAGTAGGCAGCGGTGGCAAAAAGCATTTGCAAGCGGCTCTGGTGAGCGTGGCTGACAGCGGGAGGCTTGGCCCCCGTTCGTGTTTCGGCTTGTTTTGCAGGAGGGAGAGCGGGACATGTTGGAGCTGCAAGGGCATTGCCGGGCAGAGGCTTTGCTGCTGCTGAGGGGTTTT